TCAAGGCTCTCAATTTTTCATCCTCAAATGTTATTACAATTAAAGTCCCATACCACTTTGGGAAAGAATGCCTATTCAGTTTATCGTCAAACTTCAGGGAGGGTGAAGGAAGCCCTTAGAAGTCACAGGTTGGGGCAAAACATGTTTTTAAAATGCAAGTAAATGCCATACACTTTGACAGTCTAAGAATTGAGCTCAAAGGGAACTACTTAAAAATAAAGATTTTCTCACCCAGCATAAATAATTTTGACATACATTAGAATTTTACATTAAATTATCTTTTTAAAATAATAAGGGCCTTTTGCAAATCTATTTCTTTCTGTAATTTATATGGAAAGCTCCATTTGTTTTCATGACTTTAAAAAATATGAATAAAAGAGAGGAGGGAAAGTTATGTATTGCGCAGCCCACCACCACTAAGGTATATTTAGGATGACATAGACTGTTAAGAGTGCTATCCTTGTACTGGCACCTCGAAATTATGCTAGTGACATCTGAATGAATACAGCCTCGGCGTAAAAGGAATAAGCCATTTGCATGCATATAAACTAAATCCGAAACATCTCCCACCTTGCCTCCTAAACACTTTGGAGGGTAATTTTTTAGTGCATTTCTATGCATGTCATATATACAGAATACATACATGTGCTCTCTAGTGCAAGTTCTCTCTCAAGTATAAATGTTATCACCACATAATCATTGTTCAACATATGTTGAACATGCTATCTGAAGACACATTTCTTAATCTTTTCCTTTATTTCTTCTAAGTTTTGCCTCTTATTTTAGAAGCTCTTCCCCCGCTGGTTTTCCAGTTGATGTTTAAAGTGAAGATTAAAATATTCTACAATTCGGGCATTTAGAAAAGGACTGCCTGTTGGCCCAGAGGTGGGGTGAAGAGCATGACTGTCCTGGCCAGGGCTCTGAATCATCTCTTTGGCTTCTCCTAGGTGCTCCTTTGAGTAGCAACTCTCCTGGCCCCTCCCATTTCCTACCCAGAGCTGTCTTCACTGCTGGCTGGATCTTTTTTGCTCTCTAGGGGACAGCAGTCGTTTCCAGGTAGGTGGAGGGGACTCATGGAGGGTGAAGGGAGGGTACTGAGAATGTTTTTTCTTTTAGTATGTGAGGGGTCAGGGTCTGGAGCTGTGTCCTAGGGGTGAGGGTACAAACAATTGGAATGAGAAATAACCTCATTTTATACTAATTCAGTTCAGTGGAGTCAGGGGAAAACTGGTTTTGGTGCTTTGGAAACTTGATCAAGCATCAGCATTTTGATTAACTCTCAACATTGGTCAGTGATCTAAATCTGTCTTATATATTCAAGACAAAAAGAAACAAAAAAAAAGAAAAAATCTGCCCAAAAGGTGTGGTTAAAGTTTGAACATTCAGTGACCAATTTTCTAGTTTGTGTTATTAGCCAAATTATTTTTATTCCTTTCACTTTATATTGCCTTTCCCTCCCCCACCCCTTACTGAATTTTAACCTTTTCTATCACTTTAAGATGAACAGGAGAGAAAAAGAGAGATGAGGTTCCATTTAATCAATTTTTCTACTTACAGTGGAGTCATATCTTATGTGAGGGGTTAGGTTCTAAAGGGACAACATAAGGTCAAAATTATGTGCGGTCAAAATTATCCTTGAAAGTTCCTTCAATGAGCCACAAGACCTGGGATATACCCATGTGTTTTTACCTACAGCACTGAAACAGATATATGTTTCTTCAACTAGATAAAATAATTGCTTTGCATTTAGGAACAGGTTAAGGTTAAAATAAGTAGCTTTAAACACTAGACTCATAGTCTACCTGGTGAGATCAGGACTAGCTACATAATTTGTGAGGTCCAGTGCAAAATGAAAATGTGGGCCTCCTTGTTTAAAAAGTTATTATGAATGTCAAGATGGCAGCAGCAGAGCATCAAACCAGGTGTGGGGCTCTTGCAAGCGTAAGGTCTTCTGCAACTTACAGGTTGTACACCCATGAAGCCAGTCCTGGGTAAGCAGCTTGGAACATAATGAGAAGCTTGGAAACAGATCAACTCAGGAAGAGAAGCCTCGAAACTCCCATGGAGAGAATCACTGCCAGTGTTTAAATTATTCTCTGTGCTCCCCACACCTTGTCCCATCTGAGTAGTATAGTTGAACTTGCATTATGCTAGACCAGCACAAGGTGCAGCTCCATTATACAAGTTAAATGGCTGAGAGGTTGCAATTCCATATTAAAATAACAGTTTTGGATTTTCTGATTTTTTTCTCAAGGATTCATTGTAATTTAAAACTCAGATGTGTAAAAAGAAAATTAGTATTTACATTTCTTTACTGAGCAAAAATTTTGACCTGCTTTTGGTTACTTGCCAAAAGCAATAGATCAAATTCAAACTGCATCACCATGAGTTTGCCAAGTGGTCCCCCCACAAAAGTTAGAAAAATTAGGTGTGACAATGTCTTCTTCAAATAAAAAGTTGATTATTTTACTTCCTAAGGAGGTTACCTTTTTGGACAGTTTTCCCCCCAGAAGGTCCTGAATGTAATCTAAGCCAGGAGGATTTTATTCTAGGACTACCTGAGCTATGTGAGCAAGAATGTGATAGAAGGCTAATTTTTTAAAGGAACTGCCTAGTACTTGACAACACTATATTTTTTCCCAAAGTGCTTTTATATCCAAGTCAGGCTGAGGGCAGTTGGTCAGATAACTGACCAGAAGGTTTCCAAGTAGCAAGTTATTTAATGTCAAAATAACAGAAGATTGTGTTTCCAGGACATTTTCTCTCCCCGGCTTGGGCCTCTGATGCTACCCCACCTTTTCCACCCCAAGGTTCTCAACCCAGCACATGTTGAAACTTGACTCACCTGCTTAGACAAAAAATTGCTTCCTTGTGGTCTTGAGAGTTACATATTTGAGCTTTAAAATAAGTGCCTTGCCCAGGGTCAAGCAGCTGATCACCCAGGTAGACTGGTCAACTCTCCTGACTCATGCTCACCTGCTCCAAGTTATGTAATAGAGCAAAATAATATTTAAGCTCCTACAAAGCTAACAAAGGAAGCAAAGCTGCAATGTGTCATTGTCACAGTGGCCAGAAGTTTGAGGGATATTTTTGGGTAATCTTTCTATTGTGGAGATTTTAGGGTGTTGATGGTAGTAGTTGTGTGATGGTTGTTATTTGGCAAGAAGTGAAATTGGAGGCGCCTATTATCCTTGCAGCTGATTTCAACAAACTGTATAAACAAGGGCATGAAAGAACCAGGGTGGCGACAGCATTTTCTCTTTAATCTCTTTATTTCTATCAAGTTGTATATTTTTAGAGAAGGGAGGAGAGAATGGCATAAGGAGACACAAATACAATTTTATACAGATCACCAGATAAGTTTGTTCTGAGTGGTTTGCCAAATAGTTTCAATAACTAACGCTCATTGGGTGCTTACTGTGTACAGCTCTAACCACTTCACATGTTTTATTTCATTTCATCCCCACAATAGCCCGATGAGACAGTTATCATTGTTATCACTATTATCCCCACTGACCAAGATCTCATGGGTAGTAAGTGTTGGAGCCAGGGTTTGAACCCAAAACAGTCCCTATTGTAACACTGAATTATTCCATCTAGGATAACTGGCTTTCTGCCCTCCTTTAAAATGTTGCCTCTCTGTTTTTGTTTTGTTTTCTTAGAGCCAGTCTTGCCTCCACAATCCAGACATGATTTCAGCACTAAATAAAAATACTTCAGGCTATATAAAACTCACTTACACCCTGCATGAAACTGTTTCCTAAATAACACCCATTTACACCTGGCAGAAGATAGAGTGGTTTTCATGTGCGGGGGGTGGGGGG